GCACATGCTTAGATACCATAGATACAAAGATGCATAGTTTTTGACTATTAGAAATATTGAAAATTAGCAAATAATTGCCATCGAGTAGAATAAGCTACTTGAAGTTGTTTGTTCCTATCTGCATTTTTGCTTCTGTTGCTATAATTGCATGACCAAGGAAGTGATAGAACCTCCCAAATATTTAGGGAAATACTTACAGTTACTAATTAAGTATAAAATGTAAAACTTACTGGAATTAAAGAGCTATTTCAGATATTACAATTCAAAAAAGGAAGAAAGCTGAATTTGAATATGGGGTTTCATTTAAATCTCTTCATCTGATGGTTCCTCCAGTATTACTAAGTATAGGACTCTTTAACTAAAAATTGCTAGAATAGGCTTCTAATATAGAAAGTATTATTTTCTTAAGTGGGCTTGTTAGAGAAGGGCATGCTTTTTGCTAGGGTGGTCTCTGCTGCTAAGGCTAATCCTAAAGTAGCTGATAACTGTGGCTATCTGCTGCCCATACTTCCTTAAGCTGGGAAACAAGTCTTTCCTTGAAGCGGAATTTGGTACTCCATGGTACTGCACTTACTATGACTCTCTCAGTTTCATCTGCTGGTTTCTCCTTATCTCCTGGACATCTAAACCTTTGCAAGTTCTGAGTCTTTGGACCTGTTCTCCTACAATAATGCCCTTGGTAATTCGATCCCATCTTGTGTTTTTGAATACCACCTATGCTCTGGCCAATCTTAAATTTATATTTCCAATTTGGACCTCTTCCCTGAAGTTCAGGATCATAAATATTCAGTTGCCTCTAGACATCCCCACTTGGGTACCTAATAGGCATTGTGAATTTTGTATAGGATTAAACTCTTGATTCTTCCTTTCCCCTCACCCCAAGCCTATTCCTCCCATAGTCTTCTCCATCTCAGTAAATTAATAACTTCCTTCTTCCAGTTACTCAGGCCAAAAATCTTGATTCCTCTCCATTTTTCACACCCCATATCCAATCCATCAGCAAATCCATTGGTTCCACCTTTAAAACATATTCAGAAATTTCATAGCTTTTTGCTTTCTTGTCTGCTACCACCTTGGTCCATTCCCTCATCATTTTTTTTTTAATATTTCATTATGGCAATGCCCTCCTAACTAATTAATTTCCCTTTGTCTACCTTTACCTTCCTTCTCAGCATAGTAGCCAGAGTGATATTATTAAAACATAAGCCAGATCATGTACCTCCTCCAATGGCTTCCCATCTCATTCAGAGAAGAAACCAAAGTCATCATAATACCAGGCCCTATATGAATGGCACCCCTTCCTCTTACCTTTCTGTATGTATTCCTACTCTTTCCCTTGCTTCCTCCACTTCAGCCACCCTGGCCTCTTGATATTTTTCAATTAGGCAAAGCACTTTCCTGCTTGAGGACATATGTGCTCATTGTTCCTTTTGTCTAGAAAGCTCTTCTCCAGATTTATACATGTATACTCACCTTTTCTTTTATATCTTTAATCAAATATTACCTTCTTAGAGAGATCTTCTCTGTTATTGTTTATAAAATATCAACCCTCACTACCCCCACACAATCCTCTGCCCATCTACTTTATATTCTATATTTTTTATCATCATTGAGCGTAGTCTAATTTTACTTATTTATTCATTTGTTCTCTATCTTCCCGCTAAAATAAGATCAGTGGGGCATGAGTACAGGGAATATGCCTGCTTTGTTCACTGCTAGATCCCAGCTTCTAAGAACAATAGTATTTAGTAAGAGTTCAAAACTATTTTCTGAATGACTGAATGAATATAAGGGTGAAAGAGACAGACTGTGTCCCTACCTTCATGAAACTTATACTTGGGGAATTCGTAGTTAATAAACAAGTGATTATAATGAAAAAGTACATCCATTTCAGATGTATTGGCAAGATTGGGCAGGTCAAGAGGCATGTTGCTATGCTAGAATATAGTCTCAGGTCATATTATATGTAACTGACACAATATTTTTAAAAATTGACTTTGAATGTTCTGAGATGGGGTGTGCCCTCTCCAGTTGATCCCCCACTCCTGATTATATTATACTTCAGAGAATTTATATATTAAACTTACCTGCTTGGAGCCTATAGGTATGCAAGTCAGTAAACTGATTTAGAATATTCCAAGGATTTAGAGATTCCCTGAAATGTTGAGAAGGATGTATGCTGAGCCTGAGGTCTTATAAGCTTTAATGTGAATCAGAATACTTGATCTTAAATATTAATGCTATATTTATGGTTTCAAAATACACTGGATAAAGTGTCATATCTTGGACTTTTATAAAAGTCAGAGTAATTTTTAAAAATGAATACATGTCTGACTGCTGTATTTTTAGCAGGTAGATATGTGCAACAAAATGGCAAAACCATATACTATTCTGAAAATGTTAGTTTTAAACAGACATATTTGAATGGGCTTATATTTTTGGGGATGAATTGTGTGGAAGTGGAGGTTATCATAGTTTGTGATGTAGCAAATACCAACACTGTAGTGCTCGCCTTCATCAGACCCTGGCCTGATCACACGTGCAACTAACTTGTTTGTGGATAGTGAGGCAGCATGACCTAGAATTTAGGAGTGCAGACTCTGGAGTCAGGCTTCTAGGGTTTGAATTCAGGCTTCCCCAGCTACCAGCTAGGTAACTATGAGAAGTTACTAAATCTCTCTGTGTCATAATTCCCTCCTTTGTAAAATGGGAATGATAATAGTTCCTACTTGGTAGGGTTGTTATGAAGATCAAATAAACTACTTTATATGAAGCACTTATAATAGTGTCTGACAGTCAGTAATTTCAAAATAAATGTTATTCACTCTTACTATTCTTATAATAATTATAGAATATCCAAGAAAATCCTGGAAGATGTTAAACTTTTCTAACACAAGATATACTGATCAGTTATGTTGCTCTTAGGAAGAAGGTAAAATGTAGAACAATAATCTTATGGTTGACAAAAACATTATTAAGGCTGATGGTATTTAACTTAATGTGGCTGTGAATTTATGGAATTTGAAAAAAGAGACGTTGACTTTTTTAAGATGCCAAAGGAAGAACTTTTATAAAGTTGCCTATCTTAAGATCTTACAATTGGCTGCTTTTAGACAAAAATATCTAGCAGCCTAAAAAAATACTTCACAAAAGCAATTTTGTTATAATTTGAAAAGGAAGATTCCATAAATCAGTAATACTTTTATGTAAAATTCCTCAAGTATGCTTCATAAGGATAAAGTTGCTGGGTCTTTTGTGTCCCACTTACTGAGTCTTTGGTAACATCCAGTTGGGTGATAAACTTTTGGCTATGACTCCTCTCATAGGGTATAACATTTTACTCCATACCTCAAGAACAATGAAACAGCAGATCTTGGGGGAGCGCAGTGGGACCAACTGCTAGAGGGAAACTCCAGTTTCTCTCCTGCTCTTGAGGACATAGCTGCCTGTGGAGGAGAATGTGAACAAGGCAGCTGACTATTTCCAGGCTTGGGAAATGGAAATTAATTAACCCTGTCATCTAACTTTTTTACATTTGCCTGTCTTTTCTTTCTTTCTTTCTTTTTCTTTCTTTCTTTCTTTCTTTCTTTCTTTCTTTCTTTCTTTCTTTCTTTCTTTCTTTCTTTCTCTCTCTCTCTCTTTCTTTCTCTCTCTCTTTCTTTCTTTCTTTCTTTCTTTCTTTCTTTCTTTCTTTCTTTCTTTCTTTCTTTCTTTTTCTTTCTTTCTCTCTCTCTCTCTCTCTTTCTCTCCTCTCCTCTCCTCTCCTCTCCTTTTTCTTTCCTTTTTCCTTTCCTTTCCTTTTTCCTTTCCTTTCCTTTCCTCTCCTCTCCTCTCCTTTTTCTTTCCTTTTTCCTTTCCTTTCCTTTTTCCTTTCTTTTCCTTTTCCTTTTCCTTTTCCTTTTCCTTTTCCTTTCCTTCTCCACTGAGAACAGATTTGGGGCCTGCTGACAAGGAGTGGCTATCTCAGAAGCCGGGATCATAGTAAATCAGTCAGATGAAAGAGGAGGTGTATTGTTGCCTCTTCAAAGACAACAATTCATCTATGTATCTCTTGCCAACATTTAAACTTTTAGAATCAAGTATTTCCAGGCATATTTTTTTTTTTTTTGTAATTTAAAGCATTCAAACAATTAGCTAAGGTCTTTCTTTCTTTTTCTTTCTTTCTTTCTTTCTTTCTTTTTTAAACAGCTCCTATTTAGTGTAATATGTTTTTTATTCTTTATTTAAGATGAAGACTAACCAATATAATATACCCATGTGAGCTAATGAACAATTAATTACATAATGTAGTTGAGGGGAGTAGTTATACTAACACCTTGGCAAACATTTACTGTGTACCAAGCCCTTTACCTGCATTTTCTCAGGGAATCTACACAGCAGTTGGATAAAGTAAGCACTACTATTAACTATGTAATAATCAAGGAAACTGAGACTTGAATGCATTCATTGTTTGAAATATACAGCTAGAAGATACCCTGTCAAGATTTGGACTCCAATCTTTTTGGTTTCTAGTGTTTTCTTGCATAATCACTTGTTTCTCAGTAAAAATGCCAAGATAAATGTAGGTGAAGAAATGAACACAATACCACAAATTGGTTAGGGCTGATAAAAGATACCTACAATGTAAGAAAGGAAAGGAATTCTTAATTAAGTTAAGGTAAATGTTAAGGTTCAAAGGATAGCTGTGTTTCCTGTAGATTTCTATACAACAGAGATTTGTTTGTATGGAAGTGTATAGCTCAATTCTGTGGGAAAGCTTAAAATAATAGAAGAAAGGAAACATAATGGGAATTTAAAGATAATTCTATTATTATTTGTGCATTTGTTCCTATATGGAAATGGATTCTACTCATACAATTTTAAGTTCATGGGTTGTTCATTTCTTAATTCTCATGGTTAAATATAGCCTAGCATTTGTCATTAAATTAATGCTTTACTTATACATGATGCCACTATTTCAGGATGTTTTCAAATGTTCTTTTCTCTCCATTTTCCTACAGGCCTGTCTGCCATGTTGCAGCCCTACCCCTCCTCTCTCCACGGAGGTTTGTGACAGTGTTGTTAGTCAACTTGTAGTGATCAGGTTGAGAAAGGCCATATAACTCCCCCAAAGTGCAAAAGGAACAACAACAAACCATTCACAGGTAAAATATCTCTCTCCTTTGGTTCTCAAAGCCTGGCATTTTAGGCCAGAGACTTTACATGTATGCATCAGCACAGAGACATAGAACCTGAGTACTGTGGCTAATACTTTTTGGTGTGTGGTTTCAGCTTCTTATCAAATTAAAAAAAATTTTTTTTTCCTCCTCTGCTGGTAGAGGAGAAGAAAAGAATGGTTAGAACATTAAGAAAAATTTAAAGTAATAGTCATTTGTAAAAATGAAACAATGCAGATGTGCCCTGTTCTCCCCTCTCATGCCACAGTCTCATTCTTCAGAGGGAGTCTACCTTAATGGTTCATAAATACCCTTCTAGACTTCTAATAAACCAGCACAAGCTTGTAAGTTTCTTTTTATCACAAAAATGGAATCATACTGTACATCATTTGCAACTAGTTTTTCATTTACTCAAAGCTATGTGAGCCTCAAGCCTTTAAATGACTACATAGTATTAGATGATATGTGCAAAAATTTATTTTGTCATCACCTTTTTTATCCTAATTCAGGTTGTTTCCAGTTTTGCTATTAGAAACAAGGCTTAAATGAACATCCTCCTACTCTGATAGCTGGTGTAAATATTTCTATAGTGTAGATTTCTAAAAGTTCAATTACTGAGTGAAAGATACATGCATTTAACCCTTCCTGAAATATTTTCTTAATTGTTTGCTGCCAGAACAGTGTATAAGAGTCACCTGTTTTTGTCATATTCTCACCATCTGTACGTTATCAATCTTGAAAAATGTCAGTGCAACATGTGGAGCATGGCATCTTAATATTTAAACTTATATCTCTTTTACTATTAATGAGGCTGAATATCTTCTGTGGATTGTTGGTTTATATCTTTTATTCATAGGTATTTTGGGCTATTATCTTTTTATTCTGGATATACAAGCATTTTATACATATATATACTTATCAGTTAAATGTGTAAATCTTCTCTCTTAATCTGTCAGTTGAAGAATTATTTATTTAACATCTTTTACTTTTTCCCATCCATTCTCCATGAGCATGTTACTCAGTAGTAAAATAACAAAATATTAAGCAGGAGGACTAAAAAGGGAGGAGAAATAAGCTATAAAGATAATCTGTATGTTGTACAACAAAGTTTTGAGTAAGTGAATTGATTGTGTCTATCTAACACCAAACTAGCTGGTGAGCTTGGTTAATTTAGTAAAATATGAGATAATAATCACAATTGTCTCATCAAGTTTTTTTCTTAGCTAGAATTAAAACTCCTGAGGTTAGGGGCATTGTCCTTCTCTATACTACTAGTGCTTAGCAGAGTGCCTGTTACCTAGGTGGCCCTCAGTAATGATTGACAAATAAATGGAGTAAAAGAGAACCAGATAAACCAGTGGTCTTCTGTCAGAAACTCAAAATGGAAGAAAGACCTCAATGTGAGACAGGACTCCATCAAAATCCTAGAGGAGAACATAGGCAGTAACCTCTTTGACATCGGCCATAGCAACTTCTTTCAAGATACATCTCCAAAGGCTAGTGACACAAAAGCAAAAATGAACTTTTGGGACTTCATCAAGATAAAAAGCTTCTGCAAAGCAAAGGAAACAGTCAACAAAACAAAGAGGTAACCCACAGAATGGAAGAAGATATTTGCAAATGACACTACAGATGAAGGGCTGGTATCCAAGATCTGTAAAGAACTTCTCAAACTCAACACCCAAAAAACAAATAATCAAGTCAAAAAATGGGCAGAAGACATGAACAGACACTTCTCCAAAGAAGACATACAGATGGCTAACAGACACATGAAAAAATGTTCATCATCATTAGCCATCAGGGAAATTCAAATCAAAACCACACTGAGATACCACCTTACACCAGTTAGAATGGCCAAAATTAACAAGACAGGAAACAACAAGTGTTGGTGAGGTTGTGGAGAAAGGGGAACCCTCTTATACTGTTGGTGGGAATGCAAGCTGGTGTGGCCACTATAGAAAACAGTATGGAGGTTCCTCAAGAAGTTAAAAATAGAGCTACCCTATGACTCAGCAATTGTACTACTAGGTATTTACCCCAAAGATACAGATGTAGTAAAAAGAAGGGGAACATGCATCTCAATGTTCATAGCAGCAATGTCCACAATAGCCAACCTATGGAAGGAACTTAGATATCCTTCAACAGACAAATGGATAAAGAAGAGGTGGTACATATATACAATGGAATATTACTCAGCCATCAGAAAGGATGAATACCCACCATTTGCACTGACATGGATGGAACTGGAGGAGATTATGCTAAGTAAAATAAGTCAAGCAGAGAGAGTCAATTATCATATGGTTTCACTTATTTGTGGAACATAAGGAATAGCATGGAGGACATTAGGAGAAGGAAGGGAAAAATGGGGGGGAAATCGGAGGGAGAGATGAACCATGAGTGACTATGGACTCTGAGAAACAAACTGAGGGTTTTAGAGGGGAGGGGGGTGGGGGGATGGGTTAGCCCGGTGATGGGTATTAAGGAGGGCACATACTGCATGGAGCACTGGGTGTTATACGAAAACAATGAATCATGGATCACTACAACAAAAACTAATCATGTATGGTGACTAACATAACATAATAATAAAAAAAAAAAGAAACCATAGCAATGCATTCTTTTAATGACTTTTAAACATTGGTAGTAGATATCATACTCATATAGCCAATATGATGTTTTAAGCCTATAATTCTTAGGTAGATGCATTTTTACCATTTTTTGCCAGTTTTAAGTAAGATTTTTTTGTAATATAAATTTGTAAGTCATTTTAAACATATCTGACTGCTTTGCTACCAGGTACTAACATTAATCCTTGTAATTGCCATTTAAAAGCATTACATTTTAGGGATGCCTGGGTGGCTCAATCGGTTAAGCATATGTCTTTGGCTCAGAATCCCAGGATGCTGGGATGGAGCCCGAGCCCCAAGTGTCCTGAGTGTGGGGCTCCCTGCTCAGTGGGGAGTCTGCTTCTTCCTCTCTTTCTGCCCCCACCCCCCCTGCTTGCATGTGCTCTCTTTCTCTCTCTCTCTCAAATAAATAAATAAATAAAACCTTAAAAAAATAAAACCATTACCTTTTAAATGCAAACATCCATATGGAATTCAAAGCAACTTAATACTAAGTGGATAGAACTCTTTTATTGACTTATTTTATTCTTCTGAGAAAACACTGGCATAGAGAAATGATGATTCAGGTGCCTGCGAAACATCATGAAGGTATTACCACACTGGAGAAAACCTACGTTTTCCTTAGAAAGAAAGTGATTTTGTTATTCCAGGGCCCACTTTTAGTTTCTTCTCCCTCATGATTCATGACATATCCTCAAAGGACATTAGTGACAGTCCTTGAACCTATAAATTATAGGTTGACCACTCTTGGCTTTTACTTTAGAAAGGGCAGTAGCAAAAGTCTTTAGTAAGTCAGCTTGATTGATGAAAATTTGGAAAAATTGCTGGTCTAACATTAACCACTTCAAAATAAAGTCAGGTAGTCAGGACTGTGCTATTATTCCTATGGCATTTAGCTTTGTTTGAAATGCCTGAACGTGTCGTTCTGTTCATCCAGAAATGTTTACTGAGCATCTACTATATGCCAGATGGTGGGCTAGGTCCTAGAGATTAAAGGCAATTAAGACAAAACATTGCTTTCCAAGGTTTCATGGTTTTACATACTGCATGGAGCACTGGGTATTATATGAAAACAATGAATCGTGGATCACTACATCAAAGACTAATGATATGATGTATGGTCATTAACATAACATAATAAAAACAAATTAAAAAAAGGAAAACAGTGAAGGAAAACAGAAAAAAACTAATGATGTATTATATGATGACTAACATAATAAAATAAAATTTAAAAAAAGTAATAGTAGCTTTACTGTTTTCATTAATGGTAAATAACATATTCAAATCAATTCCAAGAATAGACATAGATGCATATTAGGATATGGCCAGTTATTGTTCATCCACTGCAATAGGATGGTGCTGTATAGGAAGGACAGAAATCTGAAATTAGATCCAATAATTGGAGTGGAGCACGTGTTTGGGGTACAAAAAGAGTTGCAGGTGCTGGGAGGAAATCCAGCCTATGAGGCAAAAATGATATCTGAAATCTCTGGCAGTAAGTAGACACATGGCTGTTTCTGGAGAGTCTAACACAGTGATCAGTGAGAACATGCAGTGAGAGATAATTCAAGATCAATAATCTCACATGTCTGGGCAGGTAGGCAGTTGGCATCCAAGAAGTTTGCCAGCAAATCTTGAAGTGAGAAAGGCATGGTTTCAAAGTTGGATTGTAGGGGAAAGTTTAATCCTGGTCAGATGGAAAGGGAAAAGGGCGGAAAGAGTGTGGCATATTTCTAGTTCTAAGAATATTTTTAAGGTAGATAGTGAGTCATAATAGAACAAGGCAGAAAGCTGGTTAGGCAAACTGGGGCAAACACACCTCTAGGGGGAGCCTATGGCTCTTTTCTATTCTTGTACCCTCCACATGTCCCCAAACTCCCAGCTTCCAGACTGTGTACGTATTTCCCCCTTAAGGAGGAATGCTGTCGGGGATAGAACAAATTTAAGGGGCCTCGTCAGATCATAGTATTAGAAAGTAGAACTTTCAAAAGGATTAAGAACAGAACACAGATGGGCATGGATTCTCTTGTTTTTTCCTTCCAGAAATAATTAAGCATGAGTTTGTTCAAATTATCTGTGGCCATTTATTTTTCTCTTTTCAGATGCTTTTCTTTTCCCACAGGCCTGGAAGTAACTCCTTTTTGGAAACTGCACTCCCAGTTCCTCTTTCCAACAGCTGCCCCCATCAGCCATGGAGAGGCACAGTGGAGAATGCTTCCTATCTCTCCCTTGCTCCTTTACATTTTTAGCACCTAAGACCTAGCCTTGCATTCACAAGGCACTCAGCAAATTATTGACTAATTTTAGTGAATAGATAAAAACAGACTAACGGTGAATTGTATAACTTTGGCTTTATGCTCT